ATTCTATATTATCAGATTAGGAAATAATAAAAAATATTTGGTAAAAATTTTACACAATTTTTATAATGCCATATTTTATCCTTTTTATGTAAATTATTGCAAAAGTAATATATTATAACTAGTGTTGTTATTTTCCTTAATCTCAAAATTTATGACCCAATTTTGTGCTCAGGCTTGCTTAGAGCATGAACTATGACCACCCCGTGGTCCAGACCCCGATAATAAAATTTATTTATTTTCTTGATAATTATATATAATAAGTTTTATGATTATTTTGATTTGACATGTCTACTACTATATAATAACAATAAATGATTTATTATTTAGAAATATGTTGTTAGAATAAAATAAAATACATAAATATGTTATTTTAAATTAAAATTTGAATGGGATAAACTGGTGTGGCGTAATCGGCTAAACCTAATTAAACTTAGCCTAAAATCGGCTTTAACTATATTAGTCAAAAATTTTGCATCGGCTTATCGTTGGTCAGCGTTCCGTAATATATGCTTAGCATTCATTATTATTTATTTATAGTAAATAACTTATTTTATTTATTTAAATATTTTATTAATTATGTTATGATTTAATATTTTTATTTATATTATAAATGTGAAGAGAGATTTATTTATTAGATGTTTTTTTAATAAAAAAAATGACAAAAATGATATGCTGCTGTGATTATAATATTACTTTTATTACAATTTATTAGGATATTCACACCCAAATTTTTAGCAAAAAATATTTTTTGAAGATATTTTGATTTGATAAGAATTTTAAATCTTCTTTGTAAATAAATCTTTTTTGAGAAATTTTTTGTAATCTATTATAGTTTTTTTTAAAATGATTTTTTGTAAAACTATAAAAATATTTTCTTATAAATTCTTTTAAAGTATTTATATCAAACTTTTTTATGTTATTTTATATCATTTTTATAAGGATTTTCATGTGACAATTTTCATATTCGTTATTTTTTTAAACATTTTTGAAATTTTTTTACATAAAATTGTAAAAATAATTGTACAACTTCACTCAAATTTTATTTTAACATGCTAGCAATACTTATTTTTGCCCATTTATGCCAAAAAAATAAAAATAACTTCAAAATTGACGATTATGACAATTGTCACTTTTATATGGTACATCTTAATTAAACTTTTAATTTAAAGTGTTATAAATATTTATTAATGCCCAATAGCGTCTAAAAAAATTTTTAACATGTTTAAAAATACCGATGATATTTGTCATTTTTACAAAGAACATCTTCATTGATTTTATATTAACATCTTTACAATATATAATATATATTATTATAACCCTTTTGTGTCAAAAAATTTCAAAATTGTTATAATATAACGAATATGAAATTCTCACATTAAAATATTATCCTTAAAAAGATCATATTATATTATATAAAAATGTTTATAATATAAATAATTTTAAAAAAGTTTAGAAAATAGCACCTTTTTATATGCTTAAAAAAATAAAAAATTTTACAAAAATGATTTAAAAAAACTATAAAAGATCACAAAATAATTCCTCAAAAAAGATTTATTTGCAAAGAAGATTTAAAATTCTTATTAAATCATAATATAGCATATCATTTTTTTTTATTAAAAAATATCAAAGAAATATATCCATTTTCATAATATAATATAAATTAAAAATATTAAATCATATCATATGTTTATTTATTATAAAATATTCAGATATATATAATAAATTAATAATAATTAATGCTAGGCATAACTTACTTAATATTTATGTATTTTATTTTCCAAATTTTAACAGCTTATTTCTAAATGATAAATCATTTATTGTTATTTTAATTAAATAACAGACATGTCAAATCCAAATATTCATAAAACTTTTTTTTATGTTTAACAAGAAAATAAATGGATTCTATTCCCCTGGTCTGTGCTCAGGATTTGTGCTCATTTAAGCCCAAACCCCGGGTTTAGGGTTTAACCAACCAATTAACAAGACTAATTATATCAATAAAACATTGTCCATGAAAATAATGAATTAATAATAATAAAAATTATCTAGAATCAATCTTGGTAAAAATGTATAAAATATTTAAATAAAATTATAAAGTTAAAAATTTAATTTTGGGGCTATCTCATGGTATTTTATAAAAGCATGTACAATTTTTATTAGGACATGTAATGATTTTGACAAACATAACGCCGACTCTCCCGTAGTTTTCTTTGTCAACATTAGTGCATTTAAAACATGCAATATTTCATATGATCGTTCATACAAGTAATATTTTACAAATATTTTGTATAAATAAATTTAGCTTAATATTAAGAATCAAAAAATGCGAAAAACATCGCCTACTTTATATGACGAACTATGTGTAAGTTTATAAAAAATTATTTTGAATATTTGTTATGCTTATAATAATTTTATCTAGATTAAAAATATTCTATCAGGTAGTGTTGTTAAACGGCTGGTTTTGAGTCTATTTTTAAAAACGGCTAACTTTATATTTTAGCCAGAAAAATGTTGCCCAAGCCTCAAGATTTCGATAATATATGTCTAGACCTTTGGTCCTTCTATGAGCAGAATCTTCTGACTTAAGTAATATTTTTCTGTAAAAATATTGGTAGCCATTTTTTAAAATCGGCTCAAAACGAGCCGTTCAACACTACTATCAGATTTGGTAGGGAAATTATTTCTCAATCAAGGGAAAAATACTTAGTTAACCTAATAATAAATATCTCAAGTCCAGAAGAAGCAGAAAGTTTTGCTTCACTTTATGGACAAAAAACAGAGAGTTTGGATTGTATGCGGTTTTTTAAAACCTTGAAAGTACATACACAATTAATAAAATATTTGCTATTTAATTCTAATTCATCAGGTTGTTTAAAAATATGTCTGCATTAATATAACTAATTCAAATTGATCTTCTCAAAAAAAATGGAAATGTTACTACAGTTCAGTTAACAAAGAAAATAATAGCTTTAAAAACTGCTTAGTTTTTATCAATGTTGCTATAAAGGCAATTAATCTTTGCAATATTACAATTTTATCTCAACATTATCACATTCAGAATGCAGATAGCAGCTTAGAGTTAATGATGAGATTTTGTCGCAGAAAAGAATGCCTTAAAGATTTGACCATCTACCCAATTATTATGCCAATTTCATCACAGGAACATTGGAGGCGTATACAAAAAAGTCAGGAAATTGATAGATCACATAGCAAAGCTTTTATGAAAATCCAAAATTTAAAAAGAATTTTTATTTATATAGATTTGTATAAATTTTAGATCCTTTAATGGCCATGAAAAAAAAGCATTCTAAATTTACCTTCATATTATAAATATTATTCGAATATTTTTGTAAGAAGCTATAATTGGCTACTATATATAGGAGTAATATTATAACATGAAATAATAATACCAATAATTATACTGAAGCAACCATACGAATATTAAAGGATATAATATTATCAACATTAAAAGCAAAAGACACCTTTTAATTTTTAGATTTTTATGTTGTTATGAATATTATATTTTAAAGGACATTTTATTCAACACTAACCTAGTAAATATGACTACCGCCAAAATCGATAATTATAGTCAAAGTTTAAATATTTTGTTAATACATATCTTGGCATTATTACCTGTGCCAGATGTCAAAGTAGATTTTTTTCACTTTACTTATATTAATTTACAAAATCAGTTATATTAATTTACTACAGATGAGTTCTTTATGGAGTATAATTAAAATAATTACTTTATTATAATGTTTTATATATGGATATTATATATATACCAGGGCGTCGCCCTGGTCAGAACTTCTAATGGGGGGGGGGGGGATGTTAGCCTGGTGCAATGAATCATATTTAGCGCCTAGTAAAAAATGGCAATGGCTCACAAATAATGAGCTATCAGAGCTTTAAAAGCTGAGCAGATAAAAGGGAAAATATATATATTAATTTATGTATAGCTATAATAAAAATGAGTGTACAATAGCTAATTTTATGCAAGAACAATGAGAAATAAAAATTATATATATATTTAATAACATTATTCGAAATAGTAATTATATCACAAATCTGAACTAATTTTATTCAGGGAACCAATTTGACTAGCTTTCAATAAAGAAGGGATATTTATGAATAGTTATAGAATATTATTGAAATAATAAATATAGCATGCCATGTATCGTCCTTCCGTGATTTGTGGGAATATCGGGAAGGAATATCAATTGGCAACATCATCTACTTGAAAAGATTTTTACCAAAAAAAACATGTCTACCCCCTTAAAATAATTTCACCGCCTTCGGCGCCATGTTTTTACATTATTAATTACACCTTTTTAATTATAATGCTACTCCTTTCATAAATTTAAAAAAGAATAACTTAAACTATTTTAAGTTTTAACTCTATTACCAATCAAAATATTGTGAAAAAGAGTTATTTTTTAGATCAAGAATTTAATTATAAACCCCTCATTTACAATAAATACAGAGAATGTATAATGCGTTTAAATTACATTTAAAAGGATAGCAGAAAGTTTTATTTAGAAAATAATGTCTATGAATTGTTTTCAATATATAGATTTGGTCGATGAACACTAACATCATTGTGGCTTATAATAAATGTATTAATTTTTACAGTAATATATTTTGTCCTATTTCATCTAAAGATTTAATAGAAAATCGCCAATAAATTTATTCCCCTTAAAGACCCTTAAGAAAAATTGGATGCAAACTATTCTTACACCCCCCCCCCTCTTTGACGTTGATTGGCATAATTATTTTGTATTATAAAACATATTTTTAAGTCTGATAAATAAAATTATTTATTCTATTCTTAATTTTTAAAAATTGTTATATTTGTAAAAAATTCTTTGAAAAAATAAAAAAAAACATGCAAATTTATAAGATATGATGGAATGATTAAAAATCAGGGCTCAGCCGGGATTTGAACCCGGGACCTCGCGCACCCGAAGCGCAAATCATACCCCTAGACCACTGAGCCAAACAATTATTTCCGATGATTTTTTATAATATAATATTTTCGAAATTGTAATAATGCATTAGTCAAATTTCAATGTTTCACAAAATATTTTAAAAATGCCAATTCAAACAACTAGCGTGAGGGGAAATGCTCCCTCTTGTTTTGATCGAGTTAAGATGGGCTTTACGATGGGATTTTGCATAGGATTAGCAGCTGGTGGATTATTTTCAGGGTTTTCAGCTCTAAGGTAAATATACGTTATGTTTTTTATGCTCTTGCACATAATAAAAGCAATAACTTATGTGAAATTTTTATTTACAATTAACTCAATCCAATATATTCAATTTTCTCGAGATTATTACAATAACTGTTTAAATACCTTTGAGAGCAATAAATTTTTTATAACATTTCAGCCAGATATTAAGATCTCATATTATGAAAACATTAATATTTAAATCAAACATTAACCAAAAAATATCAAATGTCAGGTATGGCCTGAGAGGAAAAGAATTAATATCAAATATGGGTAAAATCATGCTTCAATCTGGTGGAACATTTGGTGTTTTTATGGCAATAGGAACCGGTATTCGTTGTTGATTCAAAAAATAATACTAAACTTTACATTAAATGCAAAAATCACTCACTCCCACCCCCTCATATAGTAACATCTTATATAATATTACTCCTCACAAGTAAGATAATTATTTTTTAAATTCATCTCATAAAATAGGCAACTGTCAAAATTTAATTATTATAAGCTTCAAATCCTTTAAAATTTACTAAATAGTCTTTACTTGCTCAATTGTATGGTAATTTTTAGAGATAATGTATGTTAAAAACAGTGATATTTTAAATAGTGTTTTTTATACTGATAAATTTATTATACACATAATCAATATTGATGAATTTATAATATACACATAATCAATAATTTACATGCTAGAATTATTTCACATTATTGATTTATAAATGAATTTTTAATGAAATAAGTGTTTACAATTTTTTCTACAATTAACTAAAAATAGTTTGTTTTATAGGTTTTGATTTGAGCTAATTATACAATGAATGATGTTCAAATTTTTGGAATATTTAATGCACCAATTGCTTCACTCAGGTCTTCTTCAAAGCAAAGTTCATACAATGTTTTGACATATGTGTCTTCTTCCTAAAATTTAATAAACATAAATTATGTGTTATAGTAATTTAGGAAAGAATACTAATTTTTACAGTGTTGGTCTACAAATATTTCACTGATCCAATCTAATATTCATATAACAAATCCAATATTTAGAATGATTTATATTTAATATCTCTCTTTAACCAATGTTATAAAATAATCAATATTTTCTAAAAAATTAGATGTAAATAATGAGTAAAAGAGTAAACATTTTCAAATTTTCCATTTTGTTACATTAAAATTATCAAGTGGACTATTTTTTCTTTTTAAATATTTCCATCTTATATTTACAATTACAAATAAATTGAATTTTGGTTCCTTATATTTATTTATTACAAAAATTATGCATAAAATATACAACTCGAAACAATGATAATATCAGATTGAATCAGGCTTTTTGTAAATATATGCCTGATTCTGTTTTTTTTTCAAGTCTGATCTAAAATTTAATATTCAGTATAGCCCTACTATTTTTTATAATATTGTTAAGTAAAAATCTATCCTCTTTCTGCCACATATGAGAAAAATCTCCAGGCTTACATATTACTATTTTGGCTAAAATCTTAATTGGGCCATTTTTAAAAATCCTTAAGATGTATGTATATTAGAATGAGGGTAGGCCAGATGTGGAGTAATGAGATTATGATTAGTATAGTCTGAAAAATATAGGATAAATTTTCAAGGGCTTTTTTAACATATCTTACTCTTTTTACCAGCACATCAGTGCCTGTTATTAATTTTTAAATTTCAAAATTTTTACATACATTTTGCTTTCTTCATAAACAACAATTTCATGACCAAAATTTAGGCACAAATTCAAAATATTTGGTTAAAAATTTTAATTATTGAATTTTAACCTTTTAGCTTTATCATCCAGATTAAAATAATAAACAACTTTATGATCCCAGGTTTCATTTCCCTGATTATTTATTGGGTGATGCAACAACAGATGGGGTGCACACACCCCCAAACACTCCTTTCCCATCAATCATCCCTAAAAAACCTTTTTACAACTTTAATCAATTATATCAGTCATCCAACCTCCAATCAGGAAAGGGATTTGGTGGTCACAAATAGTTAGAAGCACTCCCAAGTCGTAACCTTGGTAATCTCTTAGATGAACAATTCAGTCGCCATCGTTTTATGCATAGGAAGTGAAATCGTATAGCCTACTTCTGTCAAGTAAATTTTAAAGGCAGACCTTCATATTTGGTTATATAGCCAAGGGTGACATAAGGCCACCAAATTATCTAATGAGGATGGAAGAGAAAATAATTGCTAGCAGAGCTATAACACTTTTTTTAAGTGAAAAGGGTTTGGATCTAAGTTAGGTGAAAAAAATGGTTTGAGTTCAGATAGAATAAAATTTATTTAATTATTTACCATAAAAAAATAATTTATCATCATCATAATAACAATACTCAGATCAGAGATATAGTCTTAGCCCTGGCCATATTTGAATTTTTTTAAAAAAATATCCAGACCTAATATTTTAGCTATTACTAACTATAAAAATAAAAAATAATATATTTTAAAAAAAAATCAGGGCCAGGTTGAAATTTATTTAGCTATGATACCTCTGATATCTAATAATTAGGTGTGTACTGATACCACTTTTTGGAGACCGATTACCGATCCGATCATATCTAATTTTGTATTCTGTAAAGATACCAATGGTTTTAATATACTTTTTATTAGTATAACATCTATAATTTAACTATACCATAACTTATGTCATTTAAATATAATGATCAGTTATAGTTTATATTCAATTCAATTGCAATTCTAAAAGTATATAAAATATTTTTATTGATAAATCACTTTTATATAACTAACGTTAATCAATATACATAATAAGTAATAAAAAAATATATTATGAAATATGAAAAAATATTTAAAATAATATTTAACATTAATATATCGAAGATTTCTTGTTAGAAATACCAAAATTTCCAATTTATCAGAGGTCAGCCGGCGATGGTAACTGTCAATATAACTAGCTTCACTAAAAACAGATTCTGAAAAGATGGTTTCTAGTTCGTATTTTTTTTAATTAGGTGTTTTGTCGTTTTGCTAAAACTTAAATTTTGGTTAGGGTCCACCTCTTCGTATAAACATTTATGAAAAAACGTCAAATGACCTAAAATGGCCACAAATATATATGAAGCGATTATAATATTTGTATAATTTTGAAACATTGTAACAGATTAGACAAATAAATTAAAAAATGTTTTTATTTTAAAATAAATTTAAATATAAATTGCCAGTTCATAAGTTTTAACTTGCCTATTTTCCGATATTGTTACAATTATAATAATAACCATATATTCTATTTTATAGTTGAATTTCTTAACTCTATCATATAGTGTGGTCTTTCTAACTATTCAAAAGTCTGACTATTAAAACTTTTTCTATTGTTTATGTGGCACGCTAATAATAATTTTAGGGAATCATTTATTATTAATATCATATATAAAATTTTAATCTTTTGTAAACTTTATTAAAAATAATATGTTTCGATCGCGATTATAATAATTAAACATTTGTATTGCGATATATAAATAAAATAACAGTGACGAAAAAATGATAAAGTTTATATAACAAAAATATAATAACTATAAATTTTGAAATTGACGTATACCACTTCTGTCAAACCCGACTATAAATATTTGGATTAATAATAATGTTATCCTTTATTGACATTTATAAAACAATTTAGTTAGACAATAGAAGAAAAATTACTGTGATTTGATTTTTTTGAATATAAAAATTTTGATATTTTATCTAAATATTCTATAGGGGTAAAAAAAAACCTCCACAGTAGAATTATATTTTCATTTATTTTATCGTCTATTATACAATATTTTTTTCTTCTTAAAGTAACCTTTCTACCATCACCTAATTGAATTAATTTTAAGTCCATATCCTGTTCTATAATTTTTATGGTGTCAATAAAAAGATAAATATTAAGGTGCGAATAAGGAATGTATTCCTTGAGCGATGAAACCGTTCCACATGATTATTCGTCCTCACACCCCTAATATCAAATTTATTTCACATTTGATATTTAAATTTTGCATTATTATTAATCCAAGTATTTTCAAAATAATTTAAAAAATCAAAAATTGAATTTATCCTAAAATCTTTAGCTTGTCGCCTCAGCTCGTTAATTATATATGGCACATCCCTTTCTAATAAAAAAGGAATGGCCATTATAATTCGAAATTTATTTTTATATTACTATTCTGTCTAAAAAGTCGGGTTAGTTGACTTTCAATGCGCCAAATAACGTACTGACAGAAGTGGAAATAACAGCCCTTAACAATTATAGTGCGAAAAACAGCTTTAAGGGCTAAGTATACCCCAATTTCAAAATCTGTAGTGGCAAATCGCGGGGAAAAGAAAACCCTAAAGATAAACAATAACTTTTTAATAAAGAAAACATATATAAATAAGTATTTTTATGTTTATCTGGCAATAAAATGTATGCACAAATAATAAGAGTATGATTAACTAAAATAGAAATAGTATAAAATTGTTTAAATAATTTAGGTGCGGCATTAAAAGTGCCGTCTAAAAAATTTTTTTTTAGCCAAACAAAGGCGTGATAAAAGTTTCTTAGTTGTAAAAATATATATTCTATTATCGTCATTATTAACAAATAAAAATTTTCTCCTACCGTAAATTTATGTTCATCGCGTAAAATTATCAAGAGGAAATGGGGGTCTTGTTGATTGAACCACACGCCCCATTATTGGTCTTACTGCCAAAAATTTTGGCAAAGTGGTTGTATGATTTAAACAAAATGCATCCAATTTCCGAATCCGCATTACATTCTGGTAAATTTTGTTTATACTCAAATGAGTATCTATTTTAATTCGATCCTTTAGTTTATTAAATGTGACTAGAAGTTCATAGTGTTCTTCATCATCACCATGATTATGTGTTTGGGTCACAGTAAAATGTGCCCCAAATTTAGCTCTCCCCTTGCATGTTTTGAGATCTTGGAGGAAATAGATGCCCATAACAGAAATCTAGTCCAGGTAAATTTCAATTATATTTGTACGATCTATTTTTTAACAAAGTTTTGGACCAAGAGATCTTGGAGGAAATAGATGCCCATAACAGAAATACCATTAGTCCAAGTAAATAATATCTTTTAAATATTTATATCATATTTAAACAAAGCTATTATTCAAAACAATTTTAACAATCAAATGGTTCAATATAGTTTTATTAAATCAAAATACAACAAATATATTATCTATTCTAACAAATATTTATACCTTCATGATTATGGCGACTTATATTACAAATGTCGTATAAAAACAAGCAAGGGGAGAGCTAAATTTGGGGCACATTTTACTGTGACCCAAACACATAATCATGGTGATGATGAAGAACACTATGAACTTCTAGTCACATTTAATAAACTAAAGGATCGAATTAAAATAGATACTCATTTGAGTATAAACAAAATTTACCAGAATGTAATGCGGATTCGGAAATTGGTTGCATTTTGTTTAAATCATACAACCACTTTGCCAACATTTTTGGCAGTAAAACCAATAATGGGGCGTGTGGTTCAATCAACAAGACCCCCATTTCCTCTTGATAATTTTACGCGATGAACATAAATTTACGGTAGGAAAAAATTTTATTTTTTAATAATGACGATAATAGATTATATATTTTTACAACAGAAACTTTTATCACGCCTTTGTTTGGCTAAAAAAAAATTTTTTAGACGGCACTTTTAATGCCGCACCTAAATTATTTAATCAATTTTATACTATTTCTATTTTAGTTAATTATACTCTTATTATTTGTGCATACATTTTATTGCCAGATAAACATAAAAATACTTATTTATATATGTTTTCTTTATTAAAAAGTTATTGTTTATCTTTAGGGTTTTCTTTTCCCCGCGATTTGCCACTATAGATTTTGAAATTGGGGTATACTTAGCCCTTAAAGTTGTTTTTCGC